AACCTCCTGATGCCCTTCTAGCACAGAACATGTTTTCCTGGGACACAGGAAAGTAGTTCAAGCTTAATTACATGGTTACATTTTCATGGAATACCCTTAGGAGCCAATGATGCTGATGACACTTTGGCCTTTTATTTTGCCTTCCAGCAGAGAATCTCAAAACATTATGGGAAAGTTAATTACTTAAGGTGCACTCCGCAAAGACGGTCATGCAACAAGTCAGTGGCAGAGTCAGGCATAAGGATCAGGACTCCAGACTTAGTCTCATCTCACCAAGACAGCTTCACCTTTCCTCCTTAGCTGGCAGCTAATTCCCCTCTGACAGTGGGCAAACTTGGAGAGTTATGGAGATCATTCTTAACATGTTGTGATCATTCTATCAAGACAGCAAGACAAGAGAAGGGTGTGACTGGACTGAAGGCATGGTTTTAGTCTGGCTGGATTTGAGGCAGACAGCCTTCCTTTCTGGTGTATGTGCAAGGCATCAAGGGCAGCAGTAAGGAAGTGGTGGGGGGAGAATCACTGAGGTGTCAGGTTGGGGGTGGGGGTTGGATAAATATATTTCTCTAATATATAAATTAGCCCTGACACTATTAAAAAAATAATTGTGGCTGCAGCACGAAGGGCCCAGCAATGGTGAGGGAGAGGTGCCGGTCTCCCCCTCCCACCTGAGTACCAGCTTCTGCCTGGCCCCTGCTGTCACCGTTCAGCACAGGCAGGTGTATCTGCAGCAGGCATGGGGTGGGCTGGTGGCAGGGCTGTTCACACAGGTTTGGGCTGGACCACTCTGCTGGTCAAAATGATGTGTGCGATTAATGCAATTAAAAAAATTAATGCATTAATTTGTTTTTTGCATTAATTGCATAAATTTACTGTGATTAATTGATAGCCCTAATATAAATAGATAGTTATACATCATCAGACTTACCAGTCTTCAATACACTAAACACTGTTTCAAACCATACACCTGTTACAAGACGTGCTCCCACACACCCATATGTATTTCTTTCACAGTTATGTTTACACTGTCCTTTTATTTGTACCCCTGGTTGCTACATCTTAGCCCTTAGCTCATATCACTGTCATTGGTGTTTCCACTGCTGGTGTCATCTTTGTTGTCCTCATCGCTGTCACTCAACCCAGTCAACTCCTTTTCTTCTTTGTCACTGATCTCTTCCCTGCGAGGGGAGTCGGGTACAACACCCTGGTCCTGTCGGGAGGGGTACCTGGCTGCTTCCCAGGCAGGGATCATTGCTGTGTGACTCCCAATAGAGACCACTCCCTGTGTCTGGGTAGAGTGTGCCTACAGAACAAAGCCCTCGCCAACAGTCGGAGCAACTCTCCTGTCAGCCCTGCTCACTATGGAGGGTGCCCTGCCTGACCCTGGTCTCTGATGTGCAGAATGAAGAGAAATCACCCTGCTGTGTCATCTCTCCAAGACAGAGACCCTGCTGGTGGCCTTCTTCCAGGGGCACCTGTGGGAAGGAGAGAGCAGAGTCCCAGCCCTTGTACAGAGCCTGCATAGGCCAGGCTATAGAAGTGAGATGGCTTACACTCCCCCCAGAGCCATGCCGTGTGTTGGGTGCCTCCCCTGCAGGCAGGGCAGAGGGCAGGCAGTAGCAGGCCTTGCTCAGCCACTTCCCCATCAGGAGCTGGCTGCTGGGGGTCTCCTGGCCTGCAGGCCCCTTGCAGCAGGATAGAGGGTGCTAGGAGCAGGGGCCTGACGGAGAGAGGGAGGAGGGCTTCCAGCCTGCCCAGGAGAGAAGCAGAGAAAGGGCAGCGAGGAGGATGGGCGGACCTGTGGTGTGTGCAATAGAGCTAGCAGCCACCTGTGCTGCCTTGTGCCTGCTTCCAGGACCTGCCCTGCCCTGAGAAGCCCCACCCCCTCCTGTGACACAGACACATTGTCACACGCGCAGCTCCTGAGGGATTCATGGGCCCTGATTGGTCCCTCAGGGTTCAGGGCTCTGTAGGGAGTGAGTCCAGAAACTGCTGACCACCCCCCTGCATGAGACAGGGAGCTGGTGAGCTCCGCCCACAGCCACTGCCTGGATCCCCACCCCCTGCCTCACCCAGATGAGCCCCGCCCCCCAGCCTGTAGGTAGCTAAGTTCTCTTGCACGCCTCCCCTCAGCGCAATGCTCAGAGCTGCCTAAACCCCCCTTACTGGCTCCCCGACCCACCCCGTTCAGTCTGGCCAGGGCTGGGGGGCCCGGCTTCACTGCCCTTGGGCTGCCCCACGTGCCACCCATGCACCTGCAATACCACCTGTGAGGAGTGAAGTACTAGCTTGGGACCAGAATTCGAATCCCCTCATGAGGGCCCTGACTTATCCACCAGATCCCAGGTGGATTTTAGCTTTATTGTAATCGATCGTTGTAAGTATAAATGTTTACCTTGGTCAAAATGAATTTTCCCACTAATGGGAAATCATCATGGGAATAAGTTGCCATCATGCTGTGGAAAAAATACTTGTTTGCTTTTTTTTTAGCTGTCTCTTTGGTGGTGGGGAATGAAGGGTGGGACAGAAGTATTACAGAGGCTATCAGTGAACCCCTCCTTTTCCTGCAGTAAGGGATTGTTATGTTAAGGATAACTTGAGCACATTGTAGAGGCCTCCACCTTCGGTGTGACATTGGCTTTCCCTACGTGAACCCGATAGACAAGCTGAAGACATCTGATGTGTCTGTAGCTAAGCTGCAGCTTATAGAAGTCTGCATTTGTTTTAGGGCCCCAAGCCCCATTCTCATTTATATTCTGCAGGAGTTTCCTGACCAGTATAAAAGGTCATTGCTCTGATTCACGGCCCTTAACAACAGGACTGTGCTACACCACAGCTCTTCTTTGCTTTCCAGGGTTCGTAACAGGTTATGGGAAGCAGAGTGTAGTAGTAGTTTTGAGACTGATCTAACTTACACTGGAGCTAGGCAAAGCTATGTACACTACCAGAAAACCAGAAAGGTGTAGAAAGGCTACTAGAAGTTGCTTTGTCACCTCATATGCCTCCCTGCCCCAAATGCAGGAATGGATTGACCAGAAACACAAGTTCCTTATGCTGGGAGAGTGTTTGGGAATCTGGAGCCATACACAAGACACCACAGCCATAACAATTGGTATATGGGATGCTGAGGAGATAGTGATATGGTTTTATGACCTAGCAGCCCTGGGGGAGCATCAGGGGGAGACGAATTGCTGTAACTGTGGGGATCGCAGAGATGCAAGAGAAGGTGGCACAGTTGAAATGAGACATACAAGCAAACAGCTATGCTCAGGGTAATCCTTGTGTTTTAATCTCCCTTTAGGCCTGGGACCATGGTAGGAATTTTTCCTGCCAGACTTCTGGTTTCCTCTACTCTCTGACTGCTGATGCAGAAGAGGAAATGAAGCAGTGTTATGAGTGGATGCCTGTCCTTATTGGCAAAGGTTAAATCAGGGGCCTAAGCACTCTGTAGTGCTAATCTCTTGCACTACAGGCTTGAAGCATAGCATGCTTGACTCCGACTTTCATCTTTCTGATGCAGTTTTATGCCTGGTCACTCAGACACAATCCTAGTAAAAGAAGTTGTGGCATTTAGCTAGACTTTCTATAGTGCTTTTCATCTGTAGGTCTCAGAGTACTTAGCTGAAGTATGCAGAGTTATCACCTTGATTATGTTGGAGGAAACAGGCCCAGGGAGGTAAAATTGTTTTCTTAGTGTCATAGACTGGGTTGATAGCAGAGTTGGAGACCATGCCCAAGTTTCTTGAATCCAACTATATGGTGCTCTGGTCCCTGGACAACACAGCTTCCCCAGTTTGCTTCACTGTCCTTGGCCAAAGTTTTCCCTCTTCTTCCCATGGAGCTATTGTGTGCCCATCCACCACCCTCTTACCCCAAAGCTGGCGGCTGTTTAGGCATTTTTAGGTGCTTGGTTTGCAGATCACTTCAAAATCTTGAGAACAAAAATATATACAAAAGTTGAGTATTTTGTTGGCTAATTAGCCTGCTTCTACTTGGATTGACATCTCTATTCCAGCACATTTCAGAGCAGGTTTCTGCATGGAGACCAGCTGGGCAGGAGCCATGCAGGGAGGGTACATAGCTGGGTGGGAGCTTCTCTGGGGCCAGGATTTTGGGGTAGTGACAAAGTAGGGCCATGTTGGCTGTGGGTCTTGGCTCTGCCCCAGCCTCACCTCCCTCTTCCCCCCCAAAGTTCTCATGGCCTCTCTTCCAGCTACAGGGTCTCCTGGCCCTGCCTGCCTGGCTGTCTCTCTTCCAGCTGCAGCCTCATCCCAACTACCTGGCCACATACCCTGCCTGTGCAGGTCCCACCCCCCAGGGGTGCGTGTGGGGTGCATAAGCCAGGGTGCCCAGGCAGTGGGGCTGGGTTTGGCAGCAGCAGCCAGAAAGAGGTGCTTCACCAGGGGCTACCAGGAAATGGAGTCTGCCATGGGCCCGATCCAGCCAGTGGGCTGGACTTTGTCCCTTTGTCCCTGCTCCAGAGAGATGTGATTATAGGAGCTGCAGGTATACATGTTGTGTGCAAGAGAAGGGAAGAGAGAGGGAGTGGGAGAGAGAGAGGAAATCAGAGGGGAGAGGGAATTTCTTCCCTCTTTACTCTGATCTGATTATCAGTCAGGAGTCCTCAGGCTTACACAGAAGCCTTTATCACTGCCAGTTGTGAACTACCTAGTCAGAATAGTAGTGAAAGGACAGCCCATGGGCAGGGGAGAGCACCCTGTAGCCCCACTCTAGCTTCTCGTGCATGGGACTGTAGGTTAAGATTTTTTACAATGAGGTACCTTAGGCTGGGCTGGGGAGTTTCACTCCAGCTAGAAAAGAAGCTCTACATGACAGGGTGCTCAGATGCTATATACATGAGTGAATGGTACAGCTGAGTCTGACCACTCTGCCCAGCCTGGGCTATATTTTGGGGCCAACTAGAGAAATCTGAGCTCTGCCAATAACTGTATCCCGTTTGAAAGGACTGTGTCCAGAGACTGAATTCCAGCCTCTGAATGTGTCTTGCCATATTTTCCTTTTATTTCAATCCTTTTGGACATGCAATGCCCTGAAGCTTAGAGGATATTCTCCAGAATATAGAATTGGTCCAGCAGCTTTTCTACCAGGCCTGGCATCCAGTCTCTCAGCAGCAGCAAAGGCTGGAGGCTCCAATAAGGATAGACAACCTCCCGGTGTCGTAGTACACCAGCCCGCACCACTTCCTGGGCACACTCCTCCTTGGGATTTGCTGTCATCGTTATTTTGTCAGCAAAAGCATTCACAGCATTTTCTGAAGTAAAGTGAACAAGTATCAGAGGGTGATCTCTCTTCTGTCCTTTTCCCAGAGTAAAGAGGGATGCAGTGCAAGTGGCTGAGCTACAGGAGGCAGCTCTTGAGACTTTGCACTAATGCTAAAACTGCTTTCAGTACATCTTTTGACCTCCTATATATTCCTTATATGTTCTCTTGCCCTTGGCCCTGGAGTGATATTATTTCCCTCCTGCATTACTTATTATACCCTAATGGCTGTACATCTGTCCAGAAAAGAAGTTACAGCATATTATTCTTTTACCTGTGTCAATATATCCCAGCACAGCAATTGTGATTGAGAGATTGATCTGCTGAAGGTGCAGCTCCCTGCGTAATGAGCTGTAGAATCCTTCCAGAGCAAACTTGGCCACACTGTATGAGAGGGAAAATGGGTCTCCAATGCGACCTGCGAGTAAAAGCAATAGAAAAGAGAGTGTTTTTCCAAGAAAATGATTAATTTAAAAACTGTTATTGGCAAGGTTAGGCAGTTGAGAACAAACTGGAGTCTCTCCTGCATATATCCGTGTAAATACTATTCAGATTATTTTTCTGTTTCGTATCTGATGAACTAAGTGAAAAAGGTTTCCTATTACAAGATGCACCAGTTCTACCAGCTCTTGCTGGGCTTCTGTCAGACCTCATAGCTTATGAGAGCTGGACCATGTTAGGACCTGGGAGAAGGCCGCCCAAGGGGTCTGATGCTGTGGTCAGCAGTGTTGATGAGTTGTTTGGTGGCATTTTGCTATGATGTACACTACTCTGACTATCCCAGCAGAGATGGCTGCATTTCATTGGTAGGTGAGCAATCCCAGTGAACAGTTTTAGATCAGTTTGTAAAGAGCATTTGGAAGACTAATTTAGAGAAGAGTCACAGTGATGCCTCCTTAGTCACCAAGGAGTTAACAGAGCTTCCCTGGAACTGATAGCCCTTGGGACAGGCAGGAAAAGAGAACAGTTTTTCCTGCGAAGTGGAAACAATGATATCCCTAGTATGGTTAGGCATGGAGCCAGTTTGACTTGGAGTAGTGCAGGGTGGGTAATCCACTGGCAGGGAGCAGCTTTCCTTACCACTCATAGAGGAGATGACAATGATACTGCCCTGAGACTCCTTCAGCATAGTCATAGCTGAAGCAGTCAGCTGGACATAGCTCAGAAAGTTGACAGTCATGGAGCTGGTCATTTCTGTCATATCTCCCTGAAATGGACCAAATGAGTCAATTCCTCCAACATGGTTCAAAACCAGGTAGTCAAGGCCTCCTGGAAAAGAAAAGGAAACATAGATTCAGAAGGGAGCATATGGATCCGTTTTGGGGTCAGGATGGCTGGGATACAGTAGTCTTCCCTCTATTCTTCAAGACACCACGCTGTCCTCTCAGTGCTGCAACCTCCCTTGTGCAAGGGAGAAGTGTTTCAGGAAAAGGCAATGCAGAGGGCAGGTGTCAGTGACCCAACAGAGGTCCCACTTCCCATTTTTCAGAGGACAGTTGTATTTTGCTATGAACCTGGAAAGCATACCTAGTTTGCTTCCAGCTTCTTCAATGACTCCCTGGGCTGAACTCAAGTTGTTCATGTCGGCCACAACATACCTGGCAGAACTTGCCCCCAGTTCCAAGCACTTCTTTGCCACCTGGAGAGAAAAGAGCAGCCTTCAGCACAGCTGCAAACTACACATGGAAGCTGTTTTATGGTACAGCCATTTGCTGTACTACACATGGAAGCTGTTCTATCGTGCAGCCATTTGCTTCAGTTGGACCCTGATCAAGGATGAGCCTGGAGCTCATTTAACATGACAAGGAAGAACTAACTGTATATGAGGAGTTACACTGGGCAGGAGAACAAAGAGGTGATGGTCTACAGCAGTATGCTTAAGGCCAAATCCTGGGCTTAAGCGTACACACACAGCTCCTAGGGAGGCCATAGTTTCTAATGGGGTAGCCACTCCAGTGCCCTTTGGTGCTGGGATGGAAAATGATGTTTAAAAGGAACCCAGAAGTTCTGTTTCTTCTCCCACTTCGGGTTGCATTCCCTTGGGGTTCTCACCTCCTTGAGTTGCTTCTCCCTCCGAGCGGTGATGATCAGGTGGGCTCCCATCCGGGCAAACTCATAGGCTATTTGTTCCCCAATCCCAGTGCTTGAACCTGTGACCAGCACATGCTTCCCTTGCACCATATCTGGAGGTTTAAGAGACTCATGTCAGGAATTTTGCTCCCTTCCCAGTACTGTGAGCATTGGTGCTGTCATAGCATCTTAGAGAACCCCAGATCATTCAGCACTGAGTTCTGATTGTTTATATCTGACAAACAGAAGAGAAAAAGGGCTTCTTTGTATGTAAAATGGGAGGAATGTTCCCTTCTTCCTCCAAGAGGGGTCAAAAGTGTCACTTTGTAAAATACTGAGAGCTAACAAAAACCTTTTAAAACTGGGTAGTAGTAGCCCCTTAGATGCCCTAGGAGCTATTGGTCTTCTGTGTAATTGGACAAATTAGGAGGGGATGGACCCATTGCCTCATTCTGTTCTGTGGCCAGTGCAGAATAAGCTATGTCTACTGAAGTCCAGTTCAGGCTACCTTTAAATGTCAAAGTGGCAGGGTTTCAAACACTTTCCTTGGGAGACTTTTCCACTGGCTATTGCACACCCTGCCTTCCTGGTTTTGCCTGACACTGGCTTGCAAGAAGGATGCCTGCCAATGGATCTGTGAGCATATGAAGTCCCAGACTGATGGGTCTGGGATGGGGGATGCTTGCCGGTTGTAACACCATACATAGTGTTTGGAACAATTGTGTTTTGCCTGCTCAATCAGTATGGTTTTTGGAATGACTGCATTCTACTCAATATGATTTGGAAATGACTTGGCTAATTTGACCTGGAATATGGAATATATTATTAAAATAATACAGGGAGGGTTTTCCAAATCTATCACTTCTGTGACAGTTCCCAGTCCGCAGAGGCAGCTCAAGGCAAGCACCAAAACTCTGGTCCCCCCTGTCTTTTAGAAAGAGAGATGTTCTTACTTCCCTTCTGCTCAGGTTCTCCATCCTCTGGAAGAGTTATCTCAGACCCCTCCAACTTGCTGAACAAGAAATCAGTCCGTCCTTTGACACTGAGGGAAATTTGCTTGTTGCAGTCATAAGATTACTTTTCCTTACCAAAGTCTTTTGCTTCTCCTTTGTTGCTAAGGTCATCACCAGACTGAGCCACCAACCGACCCCCTGCTTTTTTTTTGTTCTGTTTTACGCTAATGCTTTTTGCTTTCATTTTCCATTTTAAAATTTCTTTTAAGAGACAATTACCCTAGGTCCAGCTGAGTTTTAGAATGTTTCTTTATTACATTTGGCCACAGACAACAGTCACTAAACAGGGGTTATTTCTTGCCTTGATATGAAACGGTGAAAGCACCATGAAAGAAGATTTACCCATGTCCAGATTTCAGCTGAGATTTTGGCATGCAGCATGGGATCTGACCCATAGATCCATAGTGGGGAGTCAGCCCCAACCTCTCTCTGTACCTAGAGTGTGAATTTCCTGGAGTCTCTCCAGTTTTACTTACCTGCAGATAGAGTTTCTTGGCTGTAGAAATAATATGCACACAGGCCAATGAGGACAGGGACAAGAAGCCTGACTGCAGCCATTGTGTTGATTTTCTGCAGCAACACCAACGTCAATCATTAAACACAACAGGCCCCATCATGCCAAATGATAAGCAAGTGAGGGTCATAAGCTGATTTTTCCTAAAAGGCTTATGGGGGAATGGGGCGTTGCCTCCCTCCTGGCAGCAGCCAGTACTAGACTATGAGTTCTTTGGAGCAGGGACTCGAGTGTTCCACCCAGTTTCAACTCGTGCTGTGCAGCATGTACGGTGACATCTTCTCAGTGCTGCACCCAGCTGATCTGGCCCAACTCACACCACAGGTATCACTGGTGTGTCACTGGAAAAGCCAGTCACCCCTCTTTGGGGTGGGAGAACAGATTTAGGAAACTGTTGAAGGACTAAAGCAGCTGCTCAAATTTTCCACTTTGTGTCAGCATAAACATTTCAAGGGAACTGGGGGCAGGCAAGACACAACAGATGGATCCCAGCTTGCGGGATGTTTTCTTTTTAATCCAAAACTCTTTGCTGTGGGGCTTTCCTCTCCCCTTGATCAGGGTGGGTGTAACAGAGTAAGGGACAAGAAGGTTCTGCACCCATCCCTTGCCTTCCCCCCACATTCCCAGGGAGGAACAGAGAGACTGCCGGTTGCCAGGTGGGAAAGAAAACCTGGCCCCGAGTAGAACTAAGGGAAGCCCCAGGGGAATACACTTACCTGAGGGGCCGCTGACTGTCAGCGGGTGAAGAATCCAAGAGATTGGCTGCCGGGGCCCCAGGAGGGAGATAAGCAGCAGCTGTGGAGACCAGAAGGGAGGAGAGGGAAGAAGATAGAAAAGCTGCTAGGCTGCAACACTGCTGGATGGGGGTAAGAGGAGTGCAAACAGTCCTGCTCTTTTGCTGTGTCTGTTTCTGTTGTAAGTCTGGTGAACTGTGGAGGGGGTGTAGGGTGCTCTGCTCAGACAACAAGGCGATCGCACTTGCAAGTCTGACCAGCCCTTAAGGGGACAGGCCCTAATTTTGAACTGTGTTTCAACTGTAATTCTTAAGCATGAATCCTACCTATAAAGGGACTACATGCCATTATGGTGAACTGCCTGTTCTGTAATCATGAACTCAGCATCAAGTCACGGCAGGCAAGCAGACACCAGAGGCAGCGACATCCCTTGGCCAATATCGGTCCAGGGAGTGCCCAGTCACGTGCATCTCCCCTGACCCTGCCACAGTGAGACTGAATCTTGCCATGTATGTGGACATCTCTGCCTGTAGTCTTTTGGAAATGATGCCCTCTAACTACAATAAATTTCAATGGTGCAGCAAAATACTGGGGCTGGATATTTTTTTTAAATAATTGTACCCTTATGAAATGTCATTGGCTGCCCTGTGGTTTAATATTGGACTGGCAAAATAAGAGCTTCTGGTTGTCCTTCAAACCACTTACACTCCTGTCTTTCTAGGGGATCAGGGCATGCAGGTTGCAGAGTGAGGTGTGCAAGGGTGCATGTATACATCTAGCTTGGGATTCTTGCCAAGAGAAAAGGTCCCAGCAGTAGCTGAGCTGCAGGCAGTAGGATTGGTGGATAAACAGTGTTGATGTTTCCCTATGAATTTTAATTATCAAGAGGAGTGTCACTACATTAGATTGAAACCAAACAAATCTGAAAATAAAGCTGTTTTGCTTTGAGTATGGATGCTCGCCAGCAGCATCCAAAAGACTAGTTTCCTTCCCTTTCAGAGGGAGACTCTTTGAGCCATGAGCAATTTGGCATTTTAAAAGAAAAAAATCCTCACTGAATGTATGTGGGATGAAAAATGTTAGGTTGGCAAGGGCATAAGGTGAAGTCCTCTGTCAACAGATTCTCCATCTCACAGTGTATCCCCCTAGTCTGGAAGGACAGATGCTTGGGGTGAAGAAGTTCAGTTTCCAAAGTCTCCTGGCTGAGACAGCTAACAGGCAGCTGTGGTGATATGGACATCCACCCACTCATACCTGAGGCATTTAATTAATGTAGACCACAAAAATCTCCCAAGGGCTGGTTTGTTTCAGTCACCACTGACCTGGGCTGCATTGGACCAAGTCACATAGAGGTGAAAGGCTCCATGTACCACCCACCACTGAACTGGGAGGGCTTGATTTCTAAATAGACCCAAAATACAAATAGCCATAATCTGCCCAGCCTGCCTCTCTGAGCCATGCAATCTTAGCAGAGACCTTACAGGTGTGGGTTAGAAATGCTCTGATGGTTTTTCTTTCTTGCTGCAATGGCTGTGGAAGTGTGATGTTCAAGGCACACAGCTGGGAAGCATCAGGCTCTGGTGTGCAGTTTCTGTTCCTTCCACACCAGTGCTTTGCAGTCTGCTTCTGCTCCCAAGGTCACCATGCCCAGAGTCTTTGGCCCTTTCCCACAACTTATGAACAAGCAGGTTTGTACCTGGCTCTTCTGCTCATGTGTTCCTGGGGATTCCAATCTTGCCATATCTTCCAGACAGGCAAATCCTGGAGTCTCAATGCTGAAGCATGTTATCTGGGGTTGCAGGCCTTTCTAAGGTGGGGCAAGTCTGATAGTAGACATTGACATAGGTGCCACTGACCGGAGTCGGAGCCAAATCTATCTCTGCTGCTCCAACCTCACCCTTCCCAGCAGAGATGCTCTGGGAACAAAGGCAGGAATAATCATTGTAATGGAGATCATGGCTCCCCCAGCCCAGCTTCAGCAGCCTATTCCACACTGGAGGGGATGAGACAGCAGTGCTGGGGGTTGGTTTTTGCAAGCCGACTTGTAAAGAAACAGTTCTTGTGGTGCTCTCTAATGAGTGCTTTTATTTCTGATAGCTGAGTGGAGCTACAGCTTCAAACAATGACCTGAAGTATCAGTGGGCTGGTGTGTCAACAATGAACCAGAAAAGGTGTGAGGGTCTGATGTACTGGGGAAGGTCAGGTCTGGAAAGGTAACAACGCAAGGTTGTTAGGTGGTATGTCTCTTTCCTCATTGCTGACAGGGGGGCTAGAAAGAGAACCTGTGATGAAAGGAGAGCAGGTGCCTGTCCAGTATGACTTGAATATGCATTTGATTTACTCCAGGCCTGTAATGCTGCTCCTCCTGCTGCCAGGTCTTCGGTGCAAGGTTCTTCTTTTTTGCCTCCTATATAATTTTTACATCTCCCCTCCCCTCAAGTTTCCTTGTTCTTATTGAACCCAGCTAAACAACAGATCATCTCCTTTACTGAACTCCATGTCTTCCAACAGTATGATTGATCTGCATCCTATAGTGCTGTACCCTGGGGCCTTCTACACCTCCCTCCAGACTGGCAATCACATCAATAAGATGAGGCACACCAGCTTCTTAAGGTAGGTCTTATGACAGTTACCCACCACGTCAGGGCTGATACCTGTGTTCTCTCTTTGGGTTGCATGGAGTGCTTACAAAAGTTACAGAAGGTCACCTCGATCATGCTGTAAGATGTTTGTGCTTTACACAAAGTGTTTAAAGTTAGTGTCATCAAAGCTAACAGACGTTCAGTGTTTGATGGTGGGGACTGAGTGCCTCCATGCACTGGCAAAGGCTAAGAAGCCAGCCAGCTCAATCGCTGCCCCTCTGCCCCCTTTACCCCTCCTCTGCCAGCTGGCTGCAAAGAACCAGCCAGGGTTCATTCCCCCATGTCAGGGGGCAGTGTGAAGGCAGCCTGGGGGTTGTGTCTCCTCTCTGCTGGTGCCATGGGGCACTGGCGACCTTCTCTTAATGGAGGGGGGGGGCATCCCCACCCTTGATCACTGCACACCTGCTCCACCTCCCTTGCCTGCAGGCTGGCTGCACAGAAAAGAGATTAGAGCATGACACACAGCCCTGGTAGGAAATATACAAGTTTCCTAAGGCACTCTAATTTATACTTGGATACTTGCTGGTAGCAGGGCCACATATGTTTTTTCAACAATTCAAAGGATTCAGAACTGATCTGGCTAATTTGACCTGGAACACGATACATTTTCCAAAATATATTTTAAAAAAAATGTTTGTATAGAGTAATATTACATAGTGAAATTTGCTCACAGGGGACATGTCTGCGCAAGATATTTACTGTGGAGTAGACTAATTAGCTCTGTAGTAAACATCTCAGTGTCTACATGTGATGGGCTATAAGACTGGAGTAAGCTAATAAACTCTGCAGTTTTTTACTCTGCAGCACTGCACATGTAGACACTGATGCAGCTGGCTGGGCCCTAAAGGTGCTTCAGTGAGGGGGCTGCCTGCCGGCTATAGCCCTGCACTAGAGCACCCTCATGCTCCAGCCAGCTCCCCACAGCATGTTGAGCTGGGTCGGAGCAGCCCCAGGATGGCAGGCTGAGCCCCCGAACTCTCTACCAGCTGGGGCTGCTCTGACGCAGCTCAACTTGCTGTGGTCCTGGATACAAATCAAACAGTGTACCTGGGAGCAATAAACTCTGGTGCAATAAGTTCTGGAGTTTATTGCTTTGAATTAGTTGCACACCCAGAGACATATTTTTTACTGTTCCTGTATATGTGCATGTATATAATGTAAACCATTGGAGGACTGGTGTAGTTTTGCCTTATTTATCATTACTCTGAGGAGTGCTTTGACTGTGCTCGTAAATACTCATAGTTGTAATGAAAGAGAGGCAGGTTGGGGGCAGGAGGATGGATTCTTCTTTCAGGGGGTCTTTGTGGGGAATATTTTCTTATTCTAGGCCTCTTGGCAACAGTCCCACATCTTCCCAAAAAGCAGGCCCTTCTGGCACAAAATCTGCAGCCTCTGTTTTTAACATGCCCATACTGGGCATTGGAGATTACATGGATAATGAGAAACCTGGCCCAGGCTCTCTGCTACTTGAATAAAAATTCCATGCGAGGGACTTGGTTGCACGGAGGATGCTGCTGTGTAGAAGTCTTAGCCCTGAAATAAGAGAAACTCTATGTGAATGGCTTGGGAAGCTTTGCCAAGCAGGACAATTCTATTATTCTATCTCTAGCCTATTACCTGTGAGCTTTCTCTACCCCCAGGCAGCAAGGATATCCATAACTCATTGCAAAGTATGAATCCCCCTCCACCTTGTACATGAAATTAACTTGCTTCCATGACATGTATAGCAGGATCTCTTGATGAAATGAGGTTTTGATAAAGCATCCTGCAGCCATTTTTAAACATGCAGGTACTTAATACATGTGACGGTGAGGTGTTTTAAGTACAGCGCCTGTCCAGGAACGTATGTTGGCAGCCAAAGTGTCTAAATAGTATCAAACATATGGGTTTTAACTATAAAACTGTCCTGGGCTAGATTTGAATCCATGTCTGAGCAGGAAAAGGCGCTGTATCTTAAAGACAGCCCTCCACCATTTTTGCTACTTAGAGAGACTATGCTCTTTCAGTGAGTGATCCCAGCAATCTTGCTCATCTCCAATTGTTATTAATTTCAAAACATTACACATTAACATGGGAAACTCTACCCTACAAGATAGGAACAGGCCATTTTAATCTGCATTCCAAGTGCAATCCCTAGAACTAATTTGCAAGTATTCCTACCTTCTAATCTAACCACAGTGAAGTATGTTATGATGAGAGACTGACAAGTGTTTGTTTAACAGAGGCAGATCTTCTCACAATAGGAGGCTATTATTAGGGGTGGGGATACCTTGTTATGGTCTATGTAGGCAGGAGACTCTCTGTTTAGGGTGGTCTCTTGCACAGATGCCATTATCCTTCTCTCTTACTTCATCTAGTGTTTATAATTGTAGCCTGAATTCCTCAAATGGGGTATGAAACAGCTTTGCCCTTGACTGACTCATGAGAAAGAGAAATTCCAAAGCCAGCAACACCAATCTTGTAAAAGATTCTTTTAATGTAATTACCCATTGAATCATATTCCCTCCAAAGTGCATACTGAAGGGGATGGAGTTAAATTAGAAGCAGCTTTTGTCAGATTGATTCAGTAAAACTCTAGCAGCATCCCAGCCCTTTTGTTTAAAAAAATATGTGAATGTAGTTGCTGAATTGGAGAGCGTCCCCTTCTGGCCTAGACGTGCCCAGCCCATTCCCTGATGGCAGGAAGAGATATGTTATTCTGGTCACCTGCCCTTCACAGTCATCTGTCTCTGGAAAGCAGCTACTTTTACCAGGTTTAGTTCAGCTTCTCTAATGAAAGAGAATCTTTCCCCTTAGATATTCCTCCCAATTCAGAGAGAACAGCAAAACCGGTTCATAACATTTTCCCAGGCCCCCCTCTCTCACCTACTGACTTTACATTCCCCACCTGCCAAACACCCACAACCCCTTTCCAATCCGTCATATCCTTTCACTAAACTGTCCTTCTCCCACTTTCCTCCAGGTGACAATTGTAAGAGAAGTGTTGGGGTTTTGATACACAAAAGATACACTTTCCAATGAAGGCAGCGCAGAGGCACAGTCTACATGGACAAGGAAAGGAGAAGAACCTCATGGGAGATGTTTCCTGTTGGAGACTGCGCTCAGTGCAGGAAACCCATCCGACTGAAATGTGTAAAGGCTTGCTGCCCTCTGCTGGGCCATCAAGGAATGAACCTTGGGTGTCACCTCTGACCCCTCTTGGGTTGAAATATCTTCTGTTAAGATATGCTGGGTCAATGGAACCTGCAGGTATGTAGGTCCAGATCTGCTTTATAGAGGGAATTTGACACATTAAAAATCAGGATCCTGATTAGCTGTTCTCAGTCCCATGGGGTAGTGTCTGCTCTGCCACTAGAAGTCACAGTGGCTCAAGGGACCTGGGTAAGACATTGTAAAAAGAATCCTGATGCAAAGGTTAATCACTGTTCTGACCAGCTACTCTGGGATTCTCCTGCTACTCCCCTAAGGGCTTTCTGCTGACACCCTTGTTAGAGTAAGAGTCTGACTGAAACTCCAAGGGACCATAAAACTACAAAGAGTGAAGTCTAGCACACAAGGAGCCTGGTACCGAACATTCTCAAACTCAAAAGAATCAAGAGGAATAATATTTGCTCAGCACCTCAGCTGAAGTTCACTGTAGGCAGCCAGTCTATCCCACCAGGATTAAGTCAGTTAGATCTGAAACAGTGCAACCAGGTGTTGGCAGCTGTTACTGGTACATCTTTCTTGTCCACTGATCTCAGTCTGTCCTGCCAAGACAGGTCGGCAGTTGATGCCTCTCTGTACTAGAATCATTCTTCTGTTCAGTGGGTGAGATTGACCACCATGCTGCAGGATCTCACAGTCAAAGCTGTAATCTGTTTACTCGCCATGCAAAAATTACCTAGTTTTGTTGGGTGTGGGCGCCTCCCTTGTGGGGATTGGAACCTGGATCACTGCAGGGCAATCAAAGGCAGCAACTCCCCACAGCGGGAATTCAGCTTCAAGGATGCCAAGTGATCTGACCTTGTGGGCCCAATGTTCAGTATTGCAATTGGGAGCTTCTTCTCATGGGCAGCAAGAGCAAACCTGTAACCAGAGTACACCTGCAGGGACACAAGGAAGCAAAGTGAAGTGCACCAAGTAAGAGCAAAAGAAAGTACCAATCCACTCCTCAGGGCTGCTGTCCAGGGGGTGATAGCAGGATAGTTCCATGCAGCTTGTTCATACAAATTGTTCTTCATTCAAGCACCAGCTACACAGGATGGAAGCAGCAGCTTCTCAGCTCCAAATAGGGGAAGGATTTAAATACTGTGAAAAATGTACAGAAATACAAACCTTCCCCCTTCAATCTGTTGTTGCATAATTTTCTTGGCCAGTTGCTACTGGTTATCACAGGTGCTTGGTCAAATGCTTTCAGCTGCATAGCCTATGTGCTCTGCCCAACTGGTTCTGCAAGTGAAGTCCCATGATAAACCTGAGAGACTATGGTCATGCTTAGGATACTGATTCAGGGCTCCTGAAACCCTAAGGATCACAGGCTTGGTTTTATCCCATCAGATGAGTTTTTCTTAAGGTGTATTTTAGCATTTTATAATACACCTTTTATCTGGAAACCAACCACTTAAACTGATCCTCAGACATCCTGGTTAATGACAGGCCCAGAGTCAGGATAGATAACAGCAGAGGCAAGAGATGGCTACAGAAGAAAAGAGATGGAGAAGCAAAAATGGGATGTAGTCAACAAAGCTGTTCTATATACCTTGTGAAGACTTTCTACTCCCTCCTATTCCTCCATGTTCTTCAACAGGCTAATGAGGAGTTAACTGGCAACATGAGCTGAACCTGTAGAGCACCCACTCTTACATCAGCATCCAGCAAGTCTCTAGCACAGAGATTTACTGATACTAGAGACAAAGGCCCAAATCCTCCATGGAATGTAGGTACTTGCCTCTCACAGAGTTCATCCTGCCATTCCTATAGTATTAGTGAGTGAGAGGAATAAAATCCACACCATAAAATCCAGAAGAAAACCTGTGGTGGTGGGTAAGAGGGATTTTGTAACACTCAAGGGGCCCCAGCACTCCTAGTGTTTCACACATGGCTGTAATGAGTGGTCTCCATACTATAAGAGAGACTTACCCTAACACAGAGAAGCATCTTGCAGGGACCCTGAAGGGAATGCAGTGAAGTCAGACTGTAGAAATAAAACAGCAAAATACAAGGAGGCTCTGGAGAGACAGTGAACCAGGATACCAAGGGTGGTAGGGGACCAGAGATGATGGATCAGAAACCATTGTGGAGACAGTAGCAAACAACAAATGGGAATTTAACATGGGAGAGCTGCTCAATTACCTGCAAAGAGGATCCTACCACCAGCACAGAATCTGATTCAGCCAGGCGCTGGCGCACAAAATCCACTCTTTCACGGCTCACAGAATCCCCAAAGAATGTCACATCTGGCTTCAGGATCCCACCACATTTGCTGCAGGCTGGGACGCGGAAATAACGCACCTGGTCCTCTGTGAGGAAGACATCCCCATCAGGTGCCACACCATGTCCTTCAGCTGTCCACATGGGATTCATGGCTTCAAAGCGTTCCTGAAGCTCAGAACGGGGGGTTTGATCTCCACAACCCAAGCAGAAAACTCTGAAACACAAAGTGCTTATTTCCATTTGGCTCCTGGGATTCAAGGGTTAAGAAATGTTAAGACCAGGATGGATCATTATGCTCATCCTATTTGACATCCTGCATATTACTGGTGAAACGACCTCACCCAGGTATTTCTGTATCAAGTCCAAAAGTCTCAGTATGGACTCCACAAGTCTGGCCAAAGAGTAGAGGTGATTCAGTCTTCTGCTGGCCAGAAGGATGATAGAGAATTGTGTTCATATAATTTATAAATATGCTCCTGAAAGTACCACCCGGTGTGAGCAGAAGGATTCTGTGCTATGGAGAGATCAGTAAGAGGTCTGTTTTGTGGTCTTGCCCCCACCCCTTTCATGAGGTAACAGGGCACATCCACATTATTCCCTTATTTGCTGCTCTTATTAACACTGCACCCATGTATTAGCCACCCTGTCACCCATAACAAGGCCATCCTGAACCCCATAGAGTACCTGTGTGTGCATCCATGCAGCTCTGTCATCTGCTGACTTCCAGCCTTGCTATGCAGGGCATCCACATTCTGGGTCACCAGCCAGTGGAGTTTTCCTAGGCTCTCCCAATTCCTTAAGGCCTGGTGTGCTGCATTAGGCTGGTGAGAGGAGAACTTGGGCCAGCCTACAAAGTTCCTTGCCCAATACCTCTGACGGGCACTGGCACTGTGAACAAAGTCGGCATGCTGGATGGGCCGCCTGTCTGTCCTGGCATAAAGTCCAACTACCTCCGAGCGATAGTCAGGGATTCCTGATTCAGTTGAGATTCCAGCTCCAGTCATTACAAAGAGCCTCTGGGAATGGGAAATGAAGCGCTGCAGCTCCTCCACTTCTGTGGGATCTGGAGGAGAGCTGGCTGGCACGAAAGTCAGGTTTGGAGAGGTCTTGGCTACAGAATAGGATCTGCTGTGGTGGAACCTGAGAGTTCTGCAACCTCCTGATGCCCTTCCAGCACAGAACATGTTTTCCTGGGACACAAGAAAGTAGTTCAAGCTTAATTACAGGGTTACAGTTTCATGGGATACCCTGAGGAACCAATGAAGCTGATGACACTTTGGCCTTTTATTTGGCCTTCCAGCAGAGAATCTCAAAACATTATGGGAAAGTTAATTACTTAAGGTGCACTCTGCAAAGACGGTCATGCAACAAGTCAGTGGCAGAGTCAGGCATAAGGATCAGGACTCCTGACTTAGTCTCATCTCGCCAAGGCGGCCTCACCTTTCCTCCTTAGCTGGAAGCTAATTCCCCTCTGACAGTGGGCAAACTTGGAGAGTTATGGAGATCATTCTTAACATGTTGTGATCATTCTATCAAGACAGCAAGGCAAGAGAAGGGTGTGACTGGACTGAAGGCATGGTTTTAGTCTGGCTGGATTTGAGGCAGACAGCCTTCCTTTCCGGTGTATGTGCAAAGCATCAAGGGCAGCAGTAAGGAACTGGGGGGAGAGAATCACTGAGGTGTCAGGTACAACATTCTTGTCCTGCCAGGGGTGGCAGGGTGGGAACCTGGCTGTATCCCCAGCAGGGATCATTGCTGTGTGACTCCCAATGCAGACCACTCCCTGTGTCTGGGTAGAGTGTGCCCACAGAACAAAGCCCTCACCAACAGTCGGAGCAACTCTCCTGTCAGCCCTGCTCACTATGGAGGGTGCCCTGCCTGACCCTGGTCTCTGATGTGCAGAATGAAGAGAAATCACCCTGCTGTGTCATCTCTCCAAGACAGAGACCCTGCTGGTGGCCTTCTTCCAGGGGCACCTGTGGGAAGGAGAGAGCAGAGTCCCAGCCCTTGTACAGAGCCTGCATAGGGCAGGCTATAGAAGTGAGATGGCCTACACTCCCCCCAGAGCCATGCCGTGTGTTGGGTGCCTCCCCTGCAGGCAGGGCAGAGGGCAGGCAGTAGCAGGCCTTGCTCAGCCACTTCCCCATCAGGAGCTGGCTGCTGGGGGTCTCCTGGCCTGCAGGCCCCTTGCAGCAGGATAGAGGGTGCTAGGAGCAGGGGCCTGATGGAGAGAGGGAGGAGGGCTTCCAGCCTGCCCAGGAGAGAAGCAGAGAAAGGGCAGTGAGGAGGTAGGGGTGGTTTGAAATTGTTGGGGGGCATGATGGGGTTTTCTGGAGTGGGCAGCATCACAGAGCTGGGGCATGGGAGGGGATGCTGAGTGGAGCAGTGCTTACTGGCCCAGGGGATGGCAGAGATGCAAGGAGAAAAATTTATGCAGCTTGTTTCTGAAGGGATTTTTATGCGCTTGGAAGTCTCTGGCATACTAGTAAAGAACAGCAGGAAGAACAAGCGGAGATACCATGATCTTTAGCAGGTGGCTTTCCCAGTGGTGATACCATCTTTATGTTTTTAGCTCAAGTGGTTTTACTGACCTGGCAGGGGAGATCCCCTTCTTCTTGCCTTGAATGACTTGGTGTAGTTGAGGGTGGAGACCTGTCCATTGCACTGCAGGCAGGCAGGCTGCCCTGTGAGAGTTTACTATAGCCTCCCAATGGGAGGATCTCAGCTGTGCAGTCTATGGTGACGGGGGATTGCTCTCAGGCTTTCCCTTTAGTGCTCCTTCAGCCTTTTTGGCTAGAGGCAGGTGAAACTAGGGGGCATCTGAACTCCAAGGCCTCTGGGCTTGGTGCTTGTATGTAGGATGCCTGCTGTGGATTTGGGAGTATCTGAAGCTCTAAGCTGAGGAGTGGGAGGTAGGATATTTGCCACTGGTAGCACTACACAGACTTGAACTATTGAGCTCTGCTCAGTTGATAGGATTTGGAACTGATTTGACAACATTAATTTAACCGCCCCACCCTCCCAACCCCCAAAAACCAAAAAACAACCAAAACCAAAAAAACCCCAACAGTGTGAAGAACAGTGGAAGGGGTGAGCTGCCTGGGCCAGGGAGCCTGACTCTGGTCACTTGTGTGGGCTCTGGGAATCAGAGGAAGGACATGAACCCGAAGTAGAAAATGTGTAAGTGTTAATGGTCCCTCAGAAATCTGTCTGTAGCTTGGTGCTTAGGGCTTTACACAGGAGCCTGTAGCCAGGCACAGGCACAGATGTATCATATCTCTGTGCCCTGGCTCCCTTCTTCTGAGGTGAGCTCAGCATTAATCTGCCCTTGGCACAGATAAGTGAGGCTACAGGAGGGATGCAGCCTCTGGAGCCAGGCCCCATGCTGGATGATGCCACCTTATAGAGGTGAGCGTCATTCAGCCTCCTGCCACTCAGGACCTGGCTGCTGTGGTCTCCAGGCCTGCAGGCCCCTTGGAGCAGGATGGAGGGAGCTGGGAAGGGAGATGTTGCCTTGCTTAATTTAAGCCACGAATTTTTGTAGGCAATAACCTACTTCATCAGGTGCTATGAAAGCTCATGCTTCTTTGAACCAGTTTGTCTTGAAGGTGCTGCCCTGTCTTGCCTTCTTCCTGACTTGAGACTAACTCAGCTCCCCACTTTCTGCCTTGTCCGAGAGTCCCATTTTGGAGCTTGCACGGCTCCAAGCACCTCCGCTGCACTCAAGTGCCTGCAGGGTGAGGTAGGGGCTGTGCAGCAGTTTTGAAGATGCTGCTGCCAGATGATTTAGGTACCTAAACTCTAAAGAAGCAGGCAGGCACCAAAATACTTTTGAGAATCTGGGCCTGAAGTGGCCAGGCCTGTTTGAAAATCTCATTGGAAGTGCCTAAGTCATATTTGAAAATAGGTCTTAGCCACTTAAACCACCTTGGCTCCCGTTCTTTGAGGTATTTAGATATTTAACTTGCACTGATTTCAACCAATGTTAGGTGCCTAGCTAAGGGTCTGGGTCTTAATACCTTGCTATACAAAATGGAGCCCTGCATCAATAACTTTTAAAAATCAGCCTTTTGCTCTAGAATACTACGGTACAAGACTGATTCTAGCAGCAAACACTGCATTCAGCTTGAATAATCTCCACCTCGCATGCATGTGCCTCTTCTAAGGGATATCGTTTCTTGGACACAGCATTTCTTTGTAGACATCGCCTCTGGTTTTGGTCAAAATTTTACACTTATAATTAACTGTCTACAGGAAACTACAGATATAAATATTAGTGGCTAGACATCTCATAACCTGGCTTGTGAGTGTATAACTTGTATTGCCATCTGAAGTGGCTGGCAGGTCCAAAACTATGGGTTCAGTTCCCTAAAGTATACAGCCAAGTTTTGTTGGAGCCTGACTGGAATCAGATCCAGAGCACTCCCCCCTCGTGCTCGAATGAATTAGAATAAAATTATCCATATGCTAAAATATCAACCTAACCTTGTTCCAAAATCTGTCTTTCCTTTACAGTCCCAAAGCCTGGCCCAATATACAATTGTGAAATTCATCAGATAAAATCTAATCAGTGGAGACTATAATTAATAAACAAAGATTTGTGAGAAAAATGTGTGCACTTTCTTTCTTGAGAGTTTTAATTTTGGGGGGAAATTAAAAGAAGTTGATCAGGTTTCCAAATATTTCAGTTTCCTTTGAGAGGTCAATTGTCCATGACTAGTATTCTCCAAAGGCCGCTGAAATAAATTGATGCCATTTAAATTAAATTGCTTTCATTGATTGAATTTTCCCATTCCTTTCTCTTCTAGATTATCATTGAAAGACATCTCTGGAAAAATATTATCAGGAGAGACTTTAATAAAGAGAGGATAGTCGACTGTACTATGAGGAGAATAAGACTGTTCCAGGCACAATGAATGGCTTGGAAGAAGAAAGGCAGATGAGCAAAAAAAGGTACCCAGGAATGAGAGAGGAGCAAGGAGAGGTAGAAGTACAGGTGGAGGATGGTGAGCAACTTTGTGGTGCTCTGAGGACAAGGACCAGGAGCTTGATCTAGAAAAACAATGAAAGAGAATGGAAGGCAGTGAAGGTGCCTTTAAAAAGTACTGAGGAAGTCAGATCAGTGAGAGAGGATAGTGGTTTGTGCAGAAACATTTTAAACATTAGAAGGGTGGGAGCTGAGAGGCAGGGAGTTACGGTATAGTACTTGTGAGAGTAGGTGGTTTGTAGCAAAAACAGAGAGGAAGGATAGGTTAAGATCACATGTAGTCCCTGTGCTTGAAGGCTCAGGTCAAGCGTAGTGCCTGTTCTTAACCTGGTAGGGGAAATACCATGTATCTGTGTCCATGAAGGCACTTTTCCTAAAGCGTACCTGGAGATAATTGCTTTTCTGGTGTGGTTCAGTATCTGCTGAGGTTAAGCTCACTTTATGGAAATGGGAGCAAGCTCCTCCCTAGCTTGCTCCGAGGGCCTTATGGCTAAGGGCCAGCAAAAATCGGGGGCATTCGACCCCCAAGCCTCCGGGCTTGGGCCTGCAAGTAGGATGCCTGCCAAAGGATCTGGAAACATCTGAAGCCCCAGGTGTGGGTGGAGGATGTTTGCCAGTAGTCAGGCCACTTATGGTTCTGGACTCTTGGATTTGGAATTAGTTTTGGCTAATTTGGCCTGGGATACATAACATTAAAAAGGGATAAATGTGAGTGATATAAACGATGAAAAAGTGACAGGCAGTACAGAGGGAAGGAGAGGAAGACAGAGGTTTGCTTGTAAAAAGGGTGTTTAATTTTAAATTTTGATTTTGCATCTGAGTACTTCCCACTATATAAAGGAAAATAATTACCCATGTAACTTATAAGCAAGACTTAAAACTAGGGTTCTGTGTTTCCCCAGGGGTATAAAAAAAAGAAAACAACCCCCCACCTCTACCACTAACATTTACCACATTCCCAACGTTCACAAAGAGAGCAAACTGGGCTTAAGGCAAAAAGGAGCTGAATCTACAATTAACTCTGCCGAAGAATTCAGTACTAGAGTTTGGCATTTCCAAGACCCTATTTCAGTAATAATCCACAAAACAAGCACCGAACTAAGCACATAACCCAAAATCAGCAGGGACCAGGGACAATGAGTAAACATTTGCAAGCATACCTCTCAGGAACACTGATCTCCAGAAAAATGACGCTGGCTGCACAAAACAGACTTCTGGGAAATGCAGTTCACAAAACAAGAGTTGCACAGGAAGACTACAAGTCCCACAATCTTCCAGAGCATAACACACTGAAAACCAAAATGCCCAGGTTGCCGCAGTTAAATCCTAGCTTTTCCTATTGTGCATAGGAATAATTCAAACAAGCATGGCATGCCTGTAATAAGCACTTACTTAATTACTATTGATTTTAGTATTACCATTGATTTTAGAGACCTAGTGCTTTGCTTAGTTTCATTACATAAAAATAGCACACTATAATATCTTAAGAGCAGACATGCAAAGCAGAGAACAGGGTAGAGGTGAGTGGTTTACAAAAAGACTAGAGGAGAGAAACTGACTAATAATAGAGTCAGCGATTGATTAATTTGCGGGGAAAAGGCCACTGTGCCTCCAGTGTCCAACCAGCTGAGAGTTGAAAGGGTTTTTTTCTACTGCTCCTGGCTGCTGGTCTTCAGCAAGACGGAATCCCCAGTAGGGAAACTGCCAAATGCAGCATGGACAAGGCTCACCCTATACTGGCAGGGCTCACCCTATACTGAGGAGTGCCTAAAACTGGGTTGGGTCACATGACTAGGGCTGTAGTGAATTTGTAATTGCCTGATTTTTGTGGAAACTGAAGTTGGCTAGGCCAAGCTTAACATAAGAAAGAATATCTGCCTGGCTGTGGATGAGCTTGAGGACCTGAAGTCCTGGGGGGTCTCAGTCCCCTGTGAGGGGGTCAAGATCCTTGGGGTGGAGCTTGACCCTGAGCTGAGTGGAAGGATGGTCTGGGTGAAGGAGGTCGAAGTGAAGCAGAGGTTGCATCTGTGGCACAAGTACTCCCTCTGCATGCAGGATGTACATGGCACTCATGAAGGTGGTGTTGCTACCAATGCTTCTGTACACCGCACCGGTCTGCCCTCCACCCAAGTGTGTCACCTGCAGAATCCAGAGAGCCATGTGCATCTTCTTCGGGGGATCCAGAATGGAGACGGTGGCAAGGAAGACCCTATACAGAGAAACGGGCCAGGGGGAGGAAGATACCAGACATCCACCTGTTCCTGTGGGCACAATACACAAGCTGGATCTGCAAGCTGGCATCTGGGCCAGAGTTCAAAACAGCATGTCTTGTCAACTATTTTACAGGTCACCTCCTGAGACCGTGGGGGGTGTACACTCTAGCCAGAGGGAGACTGTGCACCATGGATCTAGTGTGCTGAAGGATTTCTGGAGCAAGTACAGGCTACAGAAGGAAACCCCAGCGACCATGTCCAACCACAGGAAGATACAAAAGGCAGTAAGAGACAGAGATGGGCTATTGACCATGGGCCTGCTCCCTGATGATGACCACTGACCATCTAGGACCAGATCTTTCACAAAGGCCTAAGGAAAGACCACAGAGACTTGAACTGGCTCATGGCATACTCCCAGTGAAGGCATGGAGGCACAGAGCGAGATGAGAGTCTAGACCTAGCTGCTTCAGGGAAAGCTGCCAATCTGTGAATGAGACCACTGACCACCTCTTTTGGCTCTTCCCTTATGCTAAGGGAGTGTGGAAAAACGTAAGCTGGTTCCTGGAGG